ACGTTATCTCCATAACATAAAAGTGCAAGGTGAGGCAGCAAAGTGCTAATGTAAAGCTCCAGCCAATTATCAAGAAAATCTAGCTAGGGCAACTGATGGAGGTAGAGACACTAAACAACAGATTTTCAGTGCAAGTGAAACAACCTTCTATTGAAAGAAGATCCCATCTAGGACTTTCATAGCTAGAGATGAGACATCAGTGCTTGGCTTCAAAGCTTCGAAGGACAGCCTGACTCTTATTAGGGTCTAATGCAGTTGGCCACTTTAAGTTGAAGCCAGTTTTCACTGACCATTCCAAAAATCCTAGAACCCTTGAGAATTATACTAAAACTATTCTGCTTGTGCTGTATACATGGAACAAAGCCTGGATGGATGACAGCACATCTTTTTATAGCATGGTTTACTGAATATGTTAAGTCCACTGTTGAAATTCACTGTTCAGAAAAAATCTATTATTTTTCAAAATATTACTGTTCATTGACAATGCGCCTGTCCACTCAAGAGCTCTGATGGAGATGTACAAGACAATTAAAAAAAATTTTTTTTCACGTCTGCTAACAAAGCACTTATTTTGCAGCTCATGGATCAAGGAGTAACTTAAACTTTTAAGTTTTATTGTTTAAGAAATACATTTCACAAGGCTTTACAAAATGAATGGATCTGGGCAAAGTAAATAAAAAACCTTCTGGAAATAATTCACCATTCTAGATGCCAGTAAGAAGAACATTTGTGATCCATGGGTGAAGTCAAAATATCAACATTAACAGGAGTTTGGAAGGTGTTGATTCCAATCCTCATGGATGACTCTGAAGGGTTTAGTGGAGGAAATAACTGCAGATGTGGTGGAAATAACAAGAGAACTAGAATTAGAAGTGGAGGCTGAAGATGTCATGGAATTGCTGCCTGTGATAAGACTAACAAATGAGGCCGGACATGGTGGATCACGCCTATAATCCCAGCACTCTGGGAAGCTGAGGTGGGTGAATCACCTGAGGTCAGGTGTTTAAGACCAGCCTGGCCAACATGGTGAAACCCCACTTTTGCTAGAAATAAAAAAAATTAGCAGGGCGTGGTGGTGCACGCCTGTAATCCCAGCTATTTGGGAGGCTTAGGCAGGAGAATTGGTTGAACCCAGGAGGCGGAGCTTGCAGTGAGCCCATATTGTGCCATTGCACTCCAATCTGGGTAACAAGGGCAAAATCTCTTAAAACAAAAAGAAACAAAACAACAAGACAAAACCAAAAAACCTACCAAATGAGTTATTTTTTATGGATGGGCAAAGAAATTGGTTTCCTGAGATGGAATGTACTTCTGGTGAAGACATAAACTGGTGAAATGACAACAAATTTAGACTATTACATAAACTTAGTTGATAAAGTGGAGTGAGGGTTGAGAGAATTAACTCAAATTTTGAAAGAAGTTCTGCTGTGGGTAAAATACTATCAAATAGCATTGCAGGCTACAGAGAAATCTTTCATGAAAGAGTCATCAAGGCATAAACTTTATTGTTTTATTTTAAGAAATCGTGACAACCACAGCAACTGTTAGCAACCAGCATCCTGATCAGTCATCAGCCATCAGCATGGAGGCAAGACCCTCTACCAGCAAGAAGGTAACAACTCGCTGAAGGTTCATATGATCATTGGCATTGTTTAGTAATATAATATTTTAATATTAAGATGTATACTTTTGTAGACATAATGCTATCGCACTCTTTCTAGATGGTAGTATAGTGTAAACATAACTTTTATATCCACTGGGAAATCAAAAATTTGTATGACTCACTTTACTTCGATATTTGCTTTATTGCAACGGTCTGGAACTGAATATGCAATATCTCAGTATTCAGATGAGGTAGTCCTGTGCTCTTAAATTAGGTTGCAGTTTGTTAGAAAGCAACTCAAAGTACAGTCAGCCTCAGGCTAACAGCCTTCTACTTTTAAAATGTAACAGTCTATATCCTCTCCAAGCCAGATTAATGCCTCCTCTCCCTCATTTTCCATCCCAGCAGTCCCCACTGCCCTATTCCACCCAGTAGCTTCAGAGACCTTTCTGCAGCTCAGGAAAGCCATCTCCAAAAGCCTGCTCCACCCATGTCACTTTCCTTGGAACCAGCTCCCTGTAATGATCTTGGCTTTCCCTGGCCTCCTGTTAGAACTCACTTAAGAACTCCAATGGATGAATCTGGAGAACATCATCCTCAGCAAACTGACACAAGAACAGAAAATGAAACACCGCATATTCTCACTCATAGGTGGGTGATGAAAAATGAGAACACATGGACACAGAAAGGGGAGTACTAAACACTGGGGTCTATTGGGGGGAAAAGGGGAGGGCCAGTGGGAGGGGGAGGTGGGGAGGGATAGCCTGGGGAGAAATGCCAAATGTGGGTGAAGGGGAGAAGAAAAGAAAGCACACTGCCATGTGTGTACCTACGCAACTGTCTTGCATGCTCTGCTCATGTACCCCAAAACCTATAATCCAATAAAAAATTAAAAAAAAAAAAAAAAAGAACTCCAATTTGTATACATATGCTTGTCACTTTTTGTTTTGTGGGCCGCACTTATGAGCTCCAGCCTGTTTTCTGAGGGCAGCCTATCTCCCAGATTGGCATCTCTTCCTTCTAAAGGGCTTTCAGATAATGCAGGATAGAAATGGGGGGTGTGTGTCGGGGGGAAGTCAGGGCAGAGATAAATCGTCACTTAAAGGGGACAGTGCAGAATTGGAGGAAAGGCTTGGAGAACACTGAGAATGCATGTAATAGAAAAAAAAAATCACTCTGCTCATGGCCGTAGGCAGAGCTCTAGCCCTGGATGCCAGACTGCGATCTTAGTCACATTCCTTTGCTCTCTCTGGGCCTTTTTTGTTGCTTTTACAACCAGACAGCTGGACCAGTCCTTTTGAATTGTGATAGTATGTAACTTCCAGCCTCAGTTTACCCATTGGGAATGGAAATATTAGCCCCTGCTCTGCTAAGTTCACAGTGTAACAATTTGGTTTACAGCTTGTAAACAAGCCTACAACCTTATTAAGACTGCAGTGCTGCCCTCCACTTAAGAAGCCACTGAATTGTCATGTGTCTCACCCATTTTTCCTAAACAATGTAGCAGCTCTGCCATCCACCCAGCTTGTCACTCATATGGGAGAGAGGAGGGAACTACAGAGCAGCCTAGAAACAATTAGCAGTTGTCCAGCTGCAACCAGCCAGTTCCCTTGGAGCTTGGACTCCCTCCTCCGAACGTTCCATCGGCCCTTCACTTCAGGACAGTTTGTGGCTGGGGAGGCTGGCAGAGGAGCCTGGTCCTCTCTGGTAGCCAACGGAAGAAGGTGGAGCCCAGGCAGATTCTGGAGAGAGCTAAGGCAGCAGGGGAGCAAGGAAAGCTTTTGTTCTCAAGGCTAATAATAGAACTTTCTGCAAAAGATTCTGACTCACCATCTGAATTCTTCAGAATCTTCCTGGTGAGGGGAAGGGGTTAGAGAGGGTAGGGCAGCAGGGAAGAATGCATTGTTTCTCCCTCCCTCGTATTTCCTGTGTAGATCCGTCAGTCACTCCTTGGCTGTATGGCCCCAGACTAGAGACTGAGGAAGCTCTAGGGAACAAAGATTATCTTGATCACACGCCACTACTTCCAAAATGAGATCTCTGGTAGACACACTCCCTAGATGCCTTTCAGTTATCCACTCCTGTATTGAGGAATAGTGTCTGGCAAAACTGAATTTGGGGATTGCCTCATTCTGCAGCCTCAATCCATTTCCTCATGGAGATGGGATAAAGGATGCCGTTAGTCTCTTAGGTTCTTAACATGGTTTGGATCTGTGTCTCCACTCAAATCTCGTGTCAAATTGTAACCCCCACTGTTGGAGGTCGGGCCTGGTGGGTGGTGATTGGATTACGGGGTAGAGTTTTCATTAATGGTTTAGCACCCTCTCCTCTTGGCACTATATAGTGAGTGAGTTCTCACAAGATCTGGTAGTTTCAAAGTGTTAGCACCTACCCCTTTTCTCTGTTCCTCCTGCTCACACTATGTAAGATGCCTGCTTTCACTTTGCCTTCCACCATGAGTTAAAGCTCCCTGAGGCCTCCCCAGAAGCTGATGTCGCTATGCTTCTGGTACAGCCTGCAGAACTGTGAGCCAGTTAAACCTCTTTTCTGTGTAAATTACCTAGTCTCGGGTATTTATTTACAGCAGTATGAGAACAGACTAATACAGTTCTTTGAATGAAATACTCTCAGATCTTTCTGTTCTCTCGTGACCAAGACAGCCTTAACTTTCCCCTCAGCTTGAACAAATAGGTTTCTTCCTGACTCTATGCTCTTGACCTCCCTTAAGAATATTTGCTTTAGAAAATTTATTGTAGGTTCTTTCTCTGTTTCTTGAGATGTAAATCTTCTCCCAGCTTCTTTCCACTTTTACAACCCAGGAATATCTTTCTCTAGGACCTGAGAACCATCTCTTTGAAATGTAAACATTGAGGAAGATAGTGCCTCCTGTCTCCTGGTTTCTATGGGTAGGAAAGGTAGGAAACTTGGGGTTGGTGGTGGGAGGGGGGTCCAAATTGTAAATCTATCTTTTATCATAAAATAGGAGGAAGTTCATTTTTTTTTGGTAAGGCCAATTAGTAAACACAGATGGTTTAAAATTCTTTCCACCCTAGCTCTTAAAAACGCCTCAGTCCTTTGACTCTGCCTCACTAGAAAGCAGACTTAGTTTGCACCCCCTCCCCTAACGCTGGCAATAGCATCAGAACAAAATCAACATCTGTTTATCATGTCTGCTATAATTTTTTCTTTAAACTTTTGATTATGCTTTCCCTCAAATACCCTCAAATCCCTCTCTTCTTGTCTTTTTTTTTTTGTCTCATACTTTATTAGGCAGCCAAATAACATACTTCTGGAAATGCGTGTATCTTACCTCTCCCATTCTATTAATACTAACATTTTTTTCAGGGGAGAAATGTGTCCAAGATGCTCTGAAACCACATACTGCCTAAGAGAGAACTGTATGTGCTCAAGCACTGTTTATTGACAAAACAATTAACTTCCAAAGCAAACTACAGCTGTTAATTAACTTCAGAAACATGCCATGATTTAAAAAAATTATTTGTATTGTTTTCTGCCAGCAGAAATAGCATCCCCCCCAACCCCCAATGGCTAGAAAGAGAGACTCTGAATCCTACTTGCCTCTTTTTCTATAAAGATACTAAATTTTGGGAAGAGAAAGAAACTGGATATAAGGGGAAGCTTCCAATGAGCTTCATTCCTCTTCAAATGAGGCCTCATTCCTCTTCAAATGAGACCTCAAGAAGAACAATAGGTCTCTGGTGTGTGGAAGGTTCCTGGAATTTAGTTAGGAACACGAGATGAACAGAGGTACAGAGGGAATCACACTGCGGGATGCACCATGCTTTCAGAGCCAGAAAGTGAGATGTCCTTCCTCTCTTAGCTTGGGCCCTTTGTAAGTATTAGAAACATTCCCCAAAACTTGAGAGAAAACTAAGGCTTTGTTCAGTTTACTACTGTCTGTATTATATATTTTAATATACACATAATAGAGAAACCAGTGTACAGAGAAATGAAATGTGCCTAAGGTCTTCCTCTGTGCATGCAGTTTGTGGCAGCATTAGGATGTGGATTCCAAATCTCTGAGTCTGGTCTTCTTTCCCATGTTCGAAGCTGCCTTCCCCCTGCTGAGTTCAGGGATTTGGAGGACCAAGGAGTAGAAGCTGGATGTTGAGGGCAGTGCAGTTTCCTGCAAAAGGTGGGAATTAGGTTCTTCGATGAAGCCACTTCTGTCAGACCACATGCTGTTGTGGTGGTGGAGAAAGCCTGCGATGGGAATGAAAAAGATACATATCATGCATTTTGGAAACGACTTTGTGTACTGAGGTTGGCAGGAACTTTCATACCTCAGCTGCGGAAATGTTTCTCAGTACTATACGTGATATTAAAGTTAGCAGCAGCAGCAGCAAAGTTATGTGACTTACGGTTTCTGCTCTTTTCATAATGAGGTGAGATTCCTGCAAGAGTTTACCTCTTGCTGTTTAATACTTATAAACTCATATATTTATGTATAGATTTTTTTCTTCCTTTGTATAGATTGCTGAACGCTGTTGGAGAATATCACTAAACCACTATCAATTCATATTCTGCTCCTTGAAATGAGCCTAGCATTATTCACCTATTCAACTAGCAATGCATTTTCTATTAATAATTATTTCTCTTTATTTGCCATAGAGTTCTCAAATTTTCACCATTCTTCTCCTGACTCACACTTTTTAGTAATGACCTCACAGAAAAAAGAACAAAATAGGCAGAAATGTTTTTCATGTCCTTTCCAGATGACCAATATAACTGTGTTTATACTTACAATTTTTTTTTTTTACCATTTTTTTCTTTCCTCTAATCTCAGAGAAAGATCTGTCACACTACTTTATGGCTAGCTGTACCCCCCAAAAGTGCTTTGAATCTCATCTCATCCCAGTTCTCAGTGACTTCACACCATCATTATCCCTGATACAGTTTGGCTCTGTGTCTCACCTGAATTGCGATCCTGAGTGTTGGAGGTGGGGCCTCACGGGAGTGATTGGATCATAGGGGCAGATTTCCCCTTTGCTGTTCCAGTCACAGTGAGTGAGTTCTCACGAGATCTGGTTGTTTGAAAGTGTGTAGCCCCCCTTATGCTTGCTTCCCCTTCCCCTTCTGCCATGATTGAAAGTTCCTGAGGTCTCCCCAGCCATGCTTCCTGCATAGCCTGTGGAACCATGAGCCAATTAAACCTCTTTTCTCTATAAATTACCCAGTCTCAGGTAGGTCCTTATGGCAAGGTGAGAACAGACTAATACAATCCCTTCCCTCCTGAACCACGACCTTTCCCATTCTATTGATTTTTTCCTTCCAGGTAAATATTTACTATATGCTTAAACTTTCCCCATCCTAAAAAAAAATTATTTACCTACTTTCTTTTCATCATTTCCAATTCACTTTTCATATTAATATTTTAAAGCCCTTTCATTCAAATGAAAGTATTCTTCTCAAGGTTAGTAATTGTTATCTAGTCATAAATACAATGGTAGCTTTGCATTCTCCTTCCTATTGGACATTTTATGGTAAATGTTACCGAAGACTACGTCTTCCTTCTTGAGAGAAACATCACTTGGTTTCTATTTGGAAATTTCTTTTTCCAATCAATATTTCTCCTTTATATACATTTTTCCTTGATAAATATTTAAATCTTAATATTTCTAAGTTTTTTTTAAACTTCAGATTCCGATTCTACATACTTTCACGGGTGAGCTATCTTTTCTTATGCCTTCACTTATTATAAGTAAGCCTTGAATTCCAAAAACCTCAATTCCCCAGATTTCTTTATCCAACTGCATTATGAACTACTGTTTGAGTTTGCCCTCCAAAATTCGTGTTGGAATATAATTGCCATTGTGATAGTATCAAGAGGTGAGGTCTTAGAGAGGATTACATAAACTCATCAGTGTGAGACTCCCATGATGAGACTGTGGGCTTTATCAGAAGAGGAAAGGAGACCTGAGATGGCATGCTCTTGCTTTTTTACAATGTGAATGTCCTATGCCATGTTATGATGCAGTAAGAAGGCCCTCACCAGATGTGGTCCATCAACCTTGGACTTACCAGCTCCCAGAACTGCAGTAAATAAATTTCCTTGATAAAATAAAACATCCAGTGTATAATGTTCTATTATGGCAACAGAAAAGCAACTAAGACATGGACCTGTTTATTTCAGTATTTTAGAAATGCCTCACACTCACCATGTTCAGATATGAACTCATCAGTTTGTTCTAAATAGTCCGACAAGATGACTAGATATTCTTTCAGGACAGCATTAGTCTTGACTTTCTATTTACAGTGCTATTTACAGTGCTGCAAGAGCAGAGATTACCTTACAGATTGATGCTGGTAGAGATGCAAATAATTTCCACCCAGTGGAACCAGCAATCCCAGAGATAAAGTTTATGCTGTTTTTGAATATTAACCATTTTTGTACTTAATACAGCAATTAAGTTCTCTCTATATATAAATTAACTTCTCAAATAGTATTTGGACCAGTTAAAGTATATTGCTGGTCCCTTTATTAATGAATGAGTTGAGGGAAGTCTTTGAACGTATTTATCTACATTTGCATGACAGTCATTATTTTACCTTTTTGAAAATTACACTTTAATACATTTGCCTTCCAAATTGTTATTCCTACTTTACTTCATTCTTAATAAAATGAAATTTATATCCGTTTAGTTGCCCAAGGAGAAACTTGCATGCTCTATCCTTCTGTTCCTCATTCCATTTTTCCTTCCCAAACATGAGTCTAATTGGTCCTGGCTTAGACATCTTACCTCCTAAATATCTCAAAATCTCACTTGTCCTCCCCTCCATTCCCACTGCCTTCAGCTTATTTCTAATCATCACATTTCTCCTCAGGTTTCTGCAGTGATTGTTAAATTATTTTCCTTACTCCACTGGCTTCCTACCCAGTCCATCTCCTATATTTCTGCCAGAATAATCTTTCTAAAAGACAAATCTAATCATCTCACTTCCTTTGTAAATTTTCCAGTGGGCTCCTATCTTAGACTAAATCAAAATGCTTAAAATAACATAGGAGACTTTGTTTTATAATCTGCGTTCTATTTATCTTTCCTATTTTCATTTTTGACCTTTCTGCAGAACATCCCCTTTCTCTCACTAGGCATAAGGTGTCGTTTCAGAAGATACTGTGGTATTCCATTGTCTTTGAACTTGTCTTTCTCACTGCCTAGGATATCAATATTCTGCTTTCTCTTTTTCTACTCCCCTCAGCCACCTTCTCCCTGTTCAGTGTTTACACATCTGTCCAAACTCACCTTCTCGACATCTTTGCCAACACATATCATTAAAAAATAATAATGTCATCTTCTGAGAAGTTAATTTCTGTGTACCTACGGCATTTAATGAAAAGCATTAATAATTACTGATTTTCTCATCATGTCTTTCACTAAACTATGAGCTCAAAGTATCCTGTGAACATTTCTGCTTATTCTGTATAATGCTCCCCTTGCTGGTGAGTTTATAAGAAGGCAAGCACATTTCAGTGGTGACAAAGGTCTAAGAGAGTTGCTACTTAGCTTAAAGGGTCAAGGCACACATTAAATGAAGGTTACATCCAAGTACATGTAGTGAGGCTTGCCCTGATCCACAGTCACAGCCTAAACTCCTGCTCAATCAGGGCCATATTCTCTGATGGAAACAGCATTGGCTCGAATCTCAGGAGACCTGGGCCCTAGTTCTGGCCCTGATACTAACTAGCTGCATGATCTTGCTGAGTCCTTTTCTTTTCCTGATCTCTTTCAAGTATAAAATGAATTCTAGGCAAATGAAATCACAAAATGAAAAACCACAGACAAAAGAACACTGCTGTATCTTCTTTTCCTTGGTCTTCCCTTTATCTTTACTGTCTCATTCTTTTTTTGGCTGTGGAAGCCAGAAAGATACTCTCTATTTGCATTGCATAATCCCCATTTTCTAAGCTGTAGTTCAAATGGATCACCAAGGCTACTTCCAAGGCTGCCAAGCCACATGATGTTCAGGTGTCCACATTCACATAGAAAGCTATGTCAACATTGCATTTGAAGATGTGCAGAGAACAGGAGGTCCTGGCTTCATCCATACTACCTTACACAGTCCTTCTGTAGAAAGAGCCTCTAGTAGTTATACTGTATAACATTTGCAGAAATATTGTCTCATATAAGTCTTATATAGAGAAATGATGTCCACAAGTTTCATCCATGCCATCGCATATTGCAAGACTTCTTTCTTTTAAAGGCTGAATAATATTTCATTGTATATCTATGTCACATTTTCCTTATCCATTCATCCATTGATGGACATTAAGTTTGTTTCCACATCTTAGACATTGTGAATAGTGCTGCAGTGAAAATAGGAGTGTTAAGGTCTCTTCAAGATCCTGATTTCAATTCTTTTGGATAAATACCCAGAAATAGCATTACTACATCATATGGTGGTTCCATTTTTTGTGTTTTGAGGAAACTTAGTACTGTTTTCCCCATTTTGCTCTTCCTAGCAACAGTGTACAGAAGTTCCAGTTACTCTACATGCTTGCCAACACCTATGTTTTCTTTTCACTACAGCCATCTTAACAGGTGTGAGGTAATATTACATTGTAATTTTGATTTGCATCTTCTTGATGATTAGTGATATTGATAATCTTTTGCTGTACTTGATGGCCACTTGTATATCTTCTTTCGATAAATGATAATTCCAAAATATATAAGGAGATTCTTCAACTCAATAACAAAACAAATAGATTATTCAATTTAAAAAAATGGGTAAAGGTTGAGAGCCATCCCTTTGACATGTAATTATCAAGGAAGATAACACGTCTCTCCTGCAGTCGCCACGGCAGGTGGGCATCTAACGTAAGCACTTTGTTTCAACTTGCAAAACCACTTCCTGTCTTAAAAATATGAGGAGTTTATCTTCTTTAGATAAAGTCAATTGACTGACACAGATGGCCACTCCAATTACCAGGTAAATCTAGGGTGAACTCTGAGTGACAAATGATTCTGTTAAGTCTTCTTACTTGAGGACAAAGTATTGTTTATTTAATAACAACCATGTAATGGGTTACATCTGCTTGGCTATGTAAAAGGGTAAGATTTCCTTCTGTCTTTGCAATCTGCTTAGTGGATTTTCTGTAATGCACATCATATTCTGCTTTAACGCTTATTCAGAAATAAAACTGCTGTCTTTCTTTTACAGTTTTGTGGAGTGATTTCCTGGGGTGGGAGGAGATTTTGTTTTTA